AACCTTCTTGATGCGCTGCAGTTGCTGAAAATGTTTGAAACAGTGTCTCATAAACAAACAACTGTTTTCAGTGTGCCAACATTTTAATAAATCATGAAATAAAGGAGGTTCAAGAATGAATAGCGAGGAATTCAACTAAGGTGTAGATTTTAATTGCAAAACTGATAACTGAAACATGATGACAGTGTACGTGGACGTGATTTTAAATCTGCTTTTGAATCTTTGGAAGGAGAGGATTGTTTCTAAGCTTAAAAAAGCCTTAAAGCAGGTTCCAAAATGCTGGGTTGATACTGTGAGTTTTTGAGCCAGAGAAGCTGTAGAATACGCTACCTCAAAAAGTTTTATACTCCAAACTGGATTGCCGTAGGTGCAGTTAGTAACTGCTTCCTTTTTAATGCCTGCATTAAAAACCCAATTCCGTTGCTGAAGACAATTGCAATCCAGTGCCAATGGTTTGCGGACGATCTTTGTTTCATTGCTCCAGGAAGAAAAAAGAATGCTAAATTCGAAATTGAGAAGAAACTAAATGAAATGCTTGTGACATTGAACAGATAGTGTGAGGAAAATAATATATTGTTAAATTTGACAAAAGCAGCAGTACATAGTACCTTCTCCCATATGGACAGTATTAAGCCCGAGATCTTTTATCAAGGGTCTCGTTTGGGTAACAGTGATAAATGTACCTACCTAGGAATGGTTTTTGATAATAAACTGAGCTGGGAGTTCCAAATAGAATCTTTAACAACTGCTTTCGATGGCGAGATCCAAGAGAATTGAAAAAGATTAAAATTTTTAAATGTCTGGCAGGCTGTCTTTGGGGTTGTTCTCGGTCAAAACTAAATCAAACATATAAAGCATTAATTTTGATTTTGCTACTGATGTGAGGTTTTGATCACAGCTGGATAAAATTTTATATAAAAACTAGAAATCTTACATAACCAGGACTTGAGACTAATTATTGGGCGGTAAAGACTACAACCTATAGATACACTTTTTTTTTTTTTTTTTTTTTTTCGTGTGTGTGTTGATGTGGTTGGAGAATATCGATTTCGATTTGATGCACTAGTCAAACACATGAGTTGAAAAGTTGGTGAATACGACGGTTACTGCTTGCAATTTAACATAATTTGTCGCGTCTTGAAAGCTACCAGAGTGCCATCTACATGTTTGTCGAACAAAACCGCGAGAACTTTCGGAGAATAAAGACATGCTGATGCGTGCTGATAATTCGTAACTAAACTACAGTCCTGTAAATCTACGTAAATATTTTATTATAAATACAGTTGATTTAAATTTAAATGGAATTGTGGTGCAATGTTATTATAGGATATATGACATATATGTGACGTAAAAAAAAGAGGGAGGAATCCCTGTTCTAAACAGAGGCGGGATATTCGTCCACTCTCATCTAATGCTGTAACGCCAAGGAATGAATACACCTGCACTCTTGCTAGTCGACAAACTGAACTCTTTGAGCTCGCGACAATGAACAAATATGTTTAAATGTAATGGAATATGGGAATTCATAATCTTTCTTTTTCTACGAGGCGGTAACTGTTTAATTTTGTATTGTAAGAAATAATGATTTAGCAAGCACGTGAATTCTGCTACTTCATCTTTAAACATTCCGTTTCTGCAGGCTGAAACTGATTTTATCTTTAATTTTAAATCATGTGATACTTAAAATTCACGAAAATTTTAAAAGACTTTTTCTCCCATTTTGTGCTTATCAACGCTTTAAGTGGATAAACATGTTAAATACTGGTTGTTCGTTTCAGCTTCGGTTCCCTGTGAAACAATTGGCAACGTGGTGTTTCGTGATTTTCCCCATTAGTTTATGTAAATATGAGACAGTTATTCTTAGAACGACCTGCAAAAAGGCATACTTCTTAAGGAAGCTATCTGTAGAGTGCTTAGACATAATCTATTGATCATCTGTCTCCAAACATCTTTCTTTTTTTGTGTGTGTGTCTGTCTCCATTGCTAGAGGAACGATATGCGAAACAGTGTTAGAATTCTGAAACTTTAGTCGTCTTCAGTATTCTATCTGTGGATTAGATGATGCATTTTATTGAACTTTTTACTTTTGAAAGTATTGTCTAATTCATCTAGTATACTGTCAAGAGCTTCAATAAACCTCTAAACACCTCATTTTTTGTGCTATTTGACAAAAAATTTCATAGAGCGAGATTGGGGGAAAGGCACATGATTGCCGTTTTATTTTTATCCTAAAACTGCGGGACGATTAAAGCTGTGGGAAGAGACATCTTTATGATGCAAAAGTCAGGCCCTAATCCTAGAAATGATTCTCAGAACGCAGTGCTACCTGAGAGCTTGCGGTACCTAGCGGCAAGTTCCTGAATTACTTTCTCTTTGCTCGGGAGATTAAAATTTCGTAATTTTTTGGATCTTTTTTCTGTATATTATATATAATGCAGCTGTTTCAATCTGAAGTATTTCATATTTTTATTATATATTTATTTTATTCATTTCTAATTGGAGATGAATCTAGATCATTTTCTTAAATTATATCCTTCCTCATTTCTCAACAACATATACTTTCACAACATATACTTGTAGCTGCAAGAGGTGTAACTTAGTAATTGCTGCCTGAGAAATCTAATGCCCGTCAATTGCAAAATGAGCTAGGTCATAGTCTTAATAGTGAAACAAAATGAGTAACAAAGCAAATACAAAAATCCATTACTAACCATTTATGTTTTGCATTGGCAATAAAATGTGGTTCAACTTTTAAAAGAAATCTTAACGGTGATAACTGTATTTTCCTTAGTATTTTTTGCAAACGTTGTAATAATGCAGCTCGTTTTTTTTTTCTTAATATGTCAGTAACAGATAGAATAGAAACATCCAAATCAGAGAGTTTGATTAATTGCATGATATAAATTGATTTGAACGACCAGTCATGCCCAAGAACACGACGCGTGATTGTCCCCAGTAGTGGCCGAGGGGTTAAGATCGCTGAATACTGAGAGTTCGATCCCAGGTGAACGGGCTGGGTGCATGGTTGGTTTTCTGTATGTGTAATGTGAATATGACTCAAGTTTCCCTTAGAAAGTCTTCCACGAAAACATCCTTCCCCATGCTGATAGCTCGCATGTGCTTTGCTATATTCAAGTAACCTAACTTAACCGACGCTTGTCTGCCTGAAGAAGAATACTTTCGTATAGGATTTTATGAGGCTTATGTTTACAGTTACACATGAGGAAATCCAATACAGTTTATAGATGCTTAGAATTTTTATGTTTGTTTGGTGTAAGTAATCTCGTATCATCCTTCATGTCTTTCAAATAGGCAGATTTTTCGCCACTTATTAGAAATTTTCGTAACTTAATTTTTTCCTTTTTGATAATTGGGGAGGAGGATGAAAAGAAGCATAAATTCCGTTTGCTTTTTGTATGTCATCGCTTGTCAAAATAAACTCATATCACAATTCTTTGCGTTAAAAAATGCTTTTTACGAATGTTAATTATCGATAGGTGCACAGAACTCCTACATTGTATGGAATATGACTTCTGGGATCTTGACTTTTTCCAGTTTATGCAGTTTCTCGGCTTCAAGCAACGACAACTTCATTTAAAAATGAAATCAGTACTCTGTATAGAAAATCTTATGACGAATTTTGTGTATATGAAACTACAGGACATGATATGAATGCAGGAAATTATTTTTGAAACATTGCATCGAAGTTAATTTTGATCGAACATTGAAGCATTTTTTTTTTTTTCTTTGCTTATTCCCGTATATAATGGACAATAAGGAAGATATTTTCTTCCTTTGTAGATTTTTCCTTGTAATGAAAAGCATTTTTGATATTCTGATAATGAAATCGTTTCTCCAATGCTTCTTTGAAGGTCGACAATGCCGTCTTTCCTGATGGCTGTCATATTCGCTGTTCTGCATTTTTTAATACCAAACCTCTCTTGTTAGAGCTGCGCGATAAACGTTTGGATGACAGACTACTGTACAGAATAGGTTTCCCTTTTAATAAGCCGATAGAATTTTTCTGTTGTCTTATTCACTGTTCTCTTGTGAGAAAGGTGAGTACCGTTATTTTAAAGAAGAATGGTGTACTCTTTCTTACCTTTCATTTACAATTGCTAGAAATCTCATTTAAATGAAATCAATGAATATTTACTTATTTTCAAAGTTCTTAAAAAGCAAAATGGAATTATGTTATCTTTTATAAATATTATCATATTTAGTGTCATCACAGTTAAAATACTTTAAATAGATCTTCGTGTATAGTATTAAAATGCTGATTTATTGTAAATAATTATTTTTTGCATTTCACTGAAATTTTTTGTAATCTGTTAATGTAAATGTAACTAAAAGATGCACGCTTTAAAATGTACTCTTAATGTGCTTTTGCAAGCCTCATTGTTGAGCTCAAACTTCTGTATCACCAGTATTGTCTTTTAAAAATATTTATAAATATTTCATGAGAAGGAGAGTATAGCAACATTATATCTATACCTTTCTCCAGCATAAAAAGGGTAAATCTGAAGTTGAAATTTCTTAAGCGCAGGCTTTCTTTTGATCCTTTTTTTAAGGTAGGGGGAGGGGTCATAGGTAATATTAACCTGTGACTTTTTTTTTAATACATTTAGCGTGGCGGTTTTTCTTATTCAGTGCGTTTTCTACTGAGCATTGGGTTTTAAAAAATGTTGTGTTATAATGAATTAGTGACTATTTCTGTTGTGTCAATTTATATGTTTGTAGAAACAAGGCTTCGAAAACTGTATTAATAGGTGTTTTTTTAATAGGGTGGGACAAAGCAGGTGAGAGCTGTTAACTAAAACTGGCTAGTATTAACGCTACTAATGATAACCATAAAAACTCCCATACAGCTAATCCTGTTCGCCGAGATTTCAACTTGGATCTAACTACCAGTGTTCAGCAGCCGTATCCTTTTGGCCATTGAAAAATGCAATGATTTATTTTATTATAAAAATATAAATGAAGTTGTTGCGTAATCATTTATTCTAAATAACTAATAAATTTAAGTACATCCTGCCCAGACCGGAAAGTGTTAGCGACTTTGATTGCCGTACTGAAGGGCCCGGGCTCCAATCCCTGAGAAGGTATGGATGTAAATTGCCTATCCCTTCATAGGAGGAAATGGTGATTGCCATTTAGGTGCCTCCTTAAATAAACTGACCGCCACTTCTGGCCTTAATAGTGCCCAAAAGCATAAAATGGCTGGGCTTGTGTCCGAGGAAAAAATATTAAGTACACAAAATGAAAAAAAAAAAAAATATTCAATGCAGTTTTTATTTGAAAGGAAACTTATTTATTTGCTGAATCTTTCTGCGTAGCATTTATTATGCGAGCCCACCAGCGGCCGAGCGGTAAAGTCACTGAACACTGGTAGTTCGGTCCGAGGTTCGAATCCTGCGAACGGGCTGACTGCATGGGCGTTTTCGTGCTTTTCCCCATGTGTAACGTGTATACGAGCCAGCTTCCCTTAGAAAGTCCTCCACGAAGGCATCCCTCCCATTAGGCAGATAGCACTCGAGACTTTGCCATAATCACACTCACTCACTCATTTATTATGCACGATTATTCAAAAAATGTCTGGCGAAAATTTAGAGGGGACTGAAATAAGTAGATTTTGTAATGGAATGGAATAAGTGTCTTGAGGTTATACCACAAGGCGCTGTTCAACGATAAATAAAAGCATTCTGCTGGTATAAATCATCAGCCTGCTGCGGGATTTGAGCAGCATGCATCGTTACGCAAACCAAAGCTCGTCGATATAATTTTTATCTATGGGGCTACGGATGGAAATGAAGCGACTTTTTAAATGATGGTATGGGGAATCTATCTTTATATTTCCTTTGAGGAGTTGAGGCGTTTTTGCACAGATAAAATGCATAAGGAGATAAATGAGATAAACAGACAAAATGCACGTCGCACGGAGAATAACGATTTACGCCAGCACAACGCTTTTACCTACCGCTCAACAGCAACTTATTATTAATTTGGTGTTTCTGCTAAACACTGAAATCAACTGAGCACAAATCGTTAATGTTAAAGCAGCATAAAGCTATAATGTTCTCAACCATTTTGCTATCGGGGAAACTTTAATTTGATGTTCAGCTATCGGAAGCTTTTTACATAAAAATTACTTTAGCTAAAATTCATGTTTGTTGTCGTGTCCATATTACATGGAACAATGTTTGCCAGAGCCTACTCCGAAGAGATGTTGGACTTCTATTTTCCATTCCCTATTCTGAGGTAGAGCACCCCGTGGGGGGGATCCGGGGGTCTCCCACCCCTCTCCACACAAGAGGACTTTCGGCTCGCCGCATATTTAGAGTGCCGCCATGCCGCACTGACACTATACATTTACAAACACCCATGTCTTTTCTGGGATTTGAACCGGGAGCTTTAGGTACCGTAGTAGGCTCCCCTAACCACTCTACCGTCTGGGCGACAAAATTCATGTTTGTTTGAGCATAATTGATCAACTTGCACACTAAATAATTTTTTGCTTCGTTTGAAATGGAACTTTTTTTTTCCTTCATTCAGCAGCCTATAAATTGCTGTTACTTTAGCGCAGCCTCCTTCTTTAGAAGTGATTATGTTTCCTTTGGGGGGGGGAGACAAGAATAAAAATTCAGGCAATTAAATTTTCTAGAGAAATATTTTACCTCCTAGGAATAAAAGTCAACGATAACTATGGGGATCTTAAAAAAACGAGATATCAAATTCTTGGGAAAAAAAGCACTTCTTGTAACTCCTGAGCCTCGCAAGGTCGGTGCATTTACTAATTTCATTACAGCTGCCTCTTGCTTTTCTGGGCTTAACCCGAGAGAGTTATATATATATATATATTTAAATTTCATGCTGTCTTCATTTCTATACCTCCAGAAAATAACAATAACGCGGATTAGAGCTGCAGAAATTTTCTTTTTTACTTCTTTAAATTTTTTGTAAGAGATGAGATAGATACACTTAATTAAAAATGTTTACCTTTACAAGAGTTTCATGGACTACTTAAAGTATTAATATGAAGTAAAAGTATATATTTACTCTCATATTTCTCCACCCTCCTACACACGCACCCTTCTCCCTACCTTTTTTTCAACGTATAGTTTATAAACTCCTTATACACTGACTACCAATAAGTATTTGGGCACCTGTGATAGAAAAGAAAACTAACTTTATTCAAAATCAACAGTTGGTAGAGCCTCCACGAGAGGTAATTACAGCGTGGACCCACCGGAGCATACGTTCCACAAGTCTTTGTATGACAGCTAGTGGTATTTTCTTCCACTCGGCTTGGAGAATACATAGAAGTTCCTTCACCAATTTTGCACGGGTAGTGCACCCCTGAATTCGGTGATGCAACTCGTCCCAGAGGTTCTCGATAGGGTTCAGGTCTGGACTCTGGGCAGGCCAGTCCATTCAATGAACTCCATTGTCACCATACCAAGCCTTGGTTAACGCCGAAACATGACAACTGACATTGTCGTCCTGAAAGTAACAGGGGTCCAACCCGTAAAACTGCCACAACGTAGGAAGCACATTGTCATCCAAAACAGTGCAGTAGGCATCGGAGTTGAGCTTACCATGAATGGGGACCAAGAGTTCCAGCCTATACCAGGAGAAACACCCCCAGACCATAATTCAACCTCCGTCAAACTTGACAGTTGGCACAATGCATTCTGGCAGGAGACGTTCTCCAGGTAGATGCCAGACCCAGACCCTGCCATCCAAAAAGTAAAGAGTGAACCTTTATTCGTCACTCCAAAGAACCCGTTTCCATTGATCTACGGTCCAATTTCGATGCGCTTTGCACCACATTAACCGAGCAGCGCGGTTGGACTTTGTGATCAAAGGCTTATGGGCAGCAGCAAGACCGTGAAAACCAAGCAGATGGGCTTCCTTACGGATGGTATTCATTGAAACAATACTCCCGGATGCCTGTTGAAACTCCTCGTGGATGAGGGCCATCGGTTGGGTGCGGTTCTTCCGAATTTCTCTGGACAAGCACTCGTCGGTCTCTATCTCCCAGTTTCGTTGGTCTGCCGACTCGGGGCACATTCCGACAATCACCGCTCACCTTCCACTTCTTAATCACATAGGCCACTGTCAATTTTGGGTACTTCAGATCGCTAGATATATCCCTTAAGGATTGGCCACATTTGTGATACCCGATAATTATACCTTTCTAGAAATCAGAGAGCTCCGAACTGCGAGGCATCTTGCATGCGACTAAAGCCGATGCTATTTCTTACACGATGTATACCGGCGGAGTCCGTGACGTACCTTAATACCGCAGATATCGTCATTTGCATAGGTGTCCAAATACTTATCGGTAGTCAGTGTATATGGTAACATGTTCGTGAAACAATTTATTTGTCCTTTTCGTTTTCTGAAAATACTATTCCATTTCAATACATAAATTTCCAAACAGAATCTTTTTTCTGTTTTGACCTTTCATTCTTTGCAGTACTGATTTCGGTTACTTTTTTATTAACTAGTTAAGACATTGTTTAAAAAACTTTTAAGTAAATTTCCGTATGAATTGATTATAAAAACGTGTATTTTTTTAATGAATTCATCGAATCCTCATAGATGACCTCTACGACCCTTAAACGTGAAATGTACCGAACAGTTGCCAAAATGGGTGTTACACCTGAAATTTCAGCTTGGCAGCCAGCCGGTGACTTATCGACTAGTTTTCCGCACATCTCAGATCGATATCACTTATTCATTTTTTACGCCTTTTTAATAAAATTAGCGAGTTTCCTTTATAATGTGTGAGATGCCTCGTAATTCTCTATTTGAAAGATGGGTAATGTTTTCAAGTTTTTATCAAAAGTACTTTAAATTACCAGATAAACCAGAGCTTACTATCTAAATGTTACGCATCTCATGCAGAAAACGTACAGTATGTGTTCCCGCCACTGATTGTTCTTAGCGGAACCTTTATTTATATGCTTTGCGCAAACTTAACAGCAGTTGCGGAAAATCTAGAAATATCCGATTATTTATTTTCCAGTCTCTGTTTCGTTTTGTAGCTCATTCTTAAAATTGTGCGCTATCGATGAAGTATTGCAAGAGGCAACTCGAGAGGTTTTGATAATTACCGTAGCTTGATTTAAATACATTGCATGGCGAAAGTTAAGGATTAAATTGATTTTAAGCCATAATTGTTGAGATAAAAAGAAGTTATACGCATCAGACTTAGCTCAGGTATAGATAATGCCTTTTATTGCATTTTTTATTTACTGCAAGCTTTGCGCTTATGAAAAAAGTTATTTTGGATAAATCGTATAGGTATTGAAAAGATGAAACTTTTTTTTTTTTTTTTTTTTTTGTTTTATTAATGTAGCTGGAAAAAAATTTTTAAATCCCTGGGGACGTAATTAATCAGTTTATCAGACATTTAGTTGACGAAATTCATGCAAACTATCATTGTACTCTATTTAGTGTTCTCCGAGAAAACAGTGCAGCTAACTGCCTTCATAAATGGTCTTAAAAATGTTTAGTTGATTGTGGTTTTATGATTGAACTCGTGAGTCCATTCGCTGAGTTCTGTGAACTCTAAATTACCAGTTGACTCCAGCTGCTGTATGCAGCTGATATTATTCTTTAAAATAAATGTATCACCTACGGTGGCAGTAAATGGTCTCATAATGTTCATCAAAAACTTAGTCTCGCTACCTCGAACATCCTTATATTCACCTGTTAATGCATGGGTGTGTGGGCTCCCAAAGTAATTCTTGCCCAAAGTAGGCTACTGCTTTCTCTGAAACGTTTTATTCAAGAATTTTAGACCGCTTGTTTAATGTTCCTTTCCGCTCTTCAGACCTTTGAGAAGTTCTTGCATTCATTTGTGAATATTATTTTGCTCTGTTACTTGTCGACTCCGCGTGACATATTTTCTTGTTATATATATAGTAGAATCTCTGGTAAACAAGCGTAGAGAATACACACGTAATGTCTTCTGACATACAAATCCTTTTACGTGACACGAACTGAAATGTGGTTATGGTACTTTCTCCTAGCCCGTTGGGTTAGAAAGCTGTCAAGGTTTCTAACCGTCGATGACAGTCGATGCCCAGAGCTTAAATTGCTCCGGTATTTCTCAGTTTCTGAAGTATATCGTGATTCTAGGCGAATCGCACTGGAGCCCCATAAAAAAGGGCTCCAGTATTCTTTTTACGTAAGTGAAACGTAGTTTCAAAATGTACCTCTAAAATCGACTATAACTTCCGAATTCATGCCTGTCTTTCTCTGGGGAACAAGCACTTTGACGGAGTTTAAGACTTTTAAGGAAAAGAAAAGCCCTCATCCTCATGGCAAAGGTTTACGTCCCAGGCTTACGTTGCCTGCTCCAAAAAACATAATATTCTGCACAAGCTGATTGCTGTAAGACACGCGAGGACTCTGTGCTTTAAAAGGATGCCTTCATGAAGAATCTGATGTATACTGGCTCAGACTGACGCTACATATTTGAGAGCCAGGATCCATCATCTATGAATTTATTCATATTCTTTGGAAATAGGTGTTTGGGTAAAGAAATTATGTTTTACGCATTTTTTCCTGATGAAGCTAATATTATACATGATTATTATTAGTAAAAATTGTTAACATTGTATTAGATATGCATACTGGTATTTCCATGTGTAAAATAATATTTTCCTTCTCTTTTGTTAGATCAGCATGCTGCCTCATACAGTCGGTGCTATCAGGTGACCATGAAACAAAATATTTACCGCTTGTGATTAAAACCTGTTCGAAAACTTGTGTTGTATTCCATACCCCGTTTCACTATGGCTTCATCTCTTCGCCACATCGCTACTGAACCTGGCAATTTAAATCAAAAAATGAGCACATCAGCATCTGAAAAAGGTTTAAATGAATTACAGATATGTGATCGCCGAAAAAGTCCTAGCCGCACATCTGATTCGGTAAGTTTTCTCTTCGATTTCCAGTCTTGCTTACCTTCATTTCAAAATAATTTTTTTTGTACTTTACGCAGTGGTAATTTCTCAACTTAACTCAAGTGGTTAACTTCACTGTGAAATAAAATCTAGAATAATTTATTAGCCATTTGCTCTGGTAGGACTTGCCGCGTACATCGCGAGCTGTCTGAAAAGTCGGTTTTTTGCGCATTGCATTTGACGCCTTTATAAAAATATCCTGTCATAGAGGTATCAGCAACTTTGTGCAAATCGGCAGTTATTCGAAAAGTCAGAAATCTTCATATGAGTACTCAGGCATATGGGGCGCCTGAATGCATGTAGAATTTTCAATGGCAAACTAAATCTCTACTTTACTTAGCGGTGCATTCAGCTTTATGAAAGTTGCCTTTTAAGAGTTAAAAATTGTTTCGTAAGGCTGGGGACACTTTTATGCCGGAAAATTTTAAAGAAGTTTTCTGTCATTTTGAATAATAGCCTGCTTTCATAAAGAGTCCTGTGTCATTATGAAGCAGTCCCGTGCACGTCGTCGGCTCTTGCTGTTCGAAAGTGGCCTTACAAAATCTTTCAATTTTCTAGAATGTAAATAAGTTTGCAGTTCAATTAGCAAATAGTATTCTACCTTGTCTTAGGCGCACAAATATGCTTATTCTTAAGTTTTGTATACATTTGAGTTATAAATAACGACATATGTACAAATAAACAGAAGAAAATTTTTAGCGCCGAATGATTTAATGTTTTTATTTGGATTCCAAAATACAAAACACAATGAAAAAGAGTGATATTATTCGACACTGTCATGAAGAAAACGTCTGATTAATTTGTACGGATGAAAAAGTTTAGAAAACTGATTGATGAGGGTGGAATGTTAATACATCTTTTCATCATTTAATTGCCCTTTAGAACTTTAATTGCCTTTAGGAAATTTTTTTTCTCCAGCTTGAACTTTTCACTGCCAGTTAACATGAGACCAATGGTAATGCCTTACACAATTTTTTCTAAGATAGGATACCATCCCCTTACAAGGCCTTATTTTCGCTATCATAGTCATATATATAGTCATATATATCATCATAGTCTAAATGACGAAAATATTCTTGTTTTGACAATGTCAACTTAAAAATAATTTTTGACAGATAACGAATCTAACTTTTAAAGTGGTCTTCCGGTTCCTATAGTTATATTTGGAAAAGTTTCGTACCCGTTATGAAAAAAATTGTAAGAAGCTTGACTCCATACAACAAAAAAATTGACCGGGATATTTAATTTCAAAAATTGCAATTTTTTATGTCATTTTCAACTTGCTTTAAGGAACTGGTTAATTAAGTTAGAACAATTTGAGGAATAAGCTTAACCACTTGCTCTACGACTAAACTTCACGGTTGCGGTGCCTTGCGCTACAATATAACAAGCGATAAAGTGTCTCATTTACGCCGCTCCGCGTCTGCGAGTGCAATCCAGAGCTGTAACTCGAGAAATAAACAATCTCGTTGTTAGGCGACGTGTGCACCACGTTATTTTCATTTTTTGCGATAAATGCCTATCGACGTGGTGTTCACGTCGCTTGCGGTTTGAGAGAAAAGCATCTCGACGTGCGTGGCACGTCTTTTTAGCGCAAGTGGTTAAAGGAAGTGCAGCAAAAACAAATATGTCTAGTCTAATATAAGAAGCCATATAAAGAAGTCATCTAGTGTCCATGTATATGTATATATATATCATTAGAATGGTTTGGATCCTGAACTAAAAATGCTTTTAAAATGTTTCAATTCGAAACTTTTGAAGTATTCATTTTCTTAATGTTCATTGGAAGCATTCATTATAAAAAGAAAACAATTGTTGCAAATTCATTGGATTTGGATTACCAGTATCAACCTCTATTGAGTGCCACATTCTTAATTTCCAGGAAAAAAATTAAGTACAAAATTGCATGTTCGGTGTTTGTCTTTTTTTAGCTTTTAAAATAATCCTTTCAAAATGTAAGAACTTGGAATTGTTATTCAGATATTATTTGTGAAATTGTATTGAAAAAAACGAGGATTCAAAAATTTTAATTATGTTCTTCATTTATTGCATTTCATTTTTATCTTTTAATGAATATAGGGGGAAAATGTATTCAACTTGTGTTTGATCAAGCCGATTTCAGTTTTTCTAATAAAAAAATATTGAGCAAAAGTTTTTTTTTCCTTTGTTAGTCTTATTTTTAATACTATGTGAAGGATGAAAGATTCGTGCGATTCGAGAAATTTTTATGGTTCGTTTTACTTGTACAAAAAACATTTTGTTACTATTTCATACAATGCGAATGTTAGGTTCTTTTGACTAATGTGTGTTTTAAATCGTTGTTTGAAGCCTTTAATGATGGCGCATACACACGTACATGTTTAATTCCATTAGGAACGAAAGGTCTAATGAACGTAAGAAAAGTGTCGCAATACATCTTTGCCAAAATTTGAGACATGACATTTTTAGTTGAAGGAGATGTCTGGCATGTTGTCAGCATTAATTATTTCTTGACTTTTGCTGCGTGTTGGCAATTTATAGGTTTGGTAGTGAATCGATTATATATATTCGGATGTGTGCATCTGTTGTTGCATCCTCTGTTCTTTAAACATGACTTTCAGCTTTCTCAAAAGAGCAGATGTGAAAAGCTTACAATTTGTATTTAAACTGAGTTGGGCATTTTTTGCTTGCAGCCAAGCATTGCCGTAAAAGGGAGGAACAAAGCATTTACCTCCTCCGGTGGAGGGGGGGGAAGACAGAAATTAAAAATGCAATTAAAGTAAACTAAGCATTAGGGTTAAAAATGGTGTAAAATATGTAAGAAGACACAGTTTTGAGATTTGTCTAAAGTGCAAAAAATCCGTCGCCATGTTTCGGGCGGCGGTGAGTATGAATAAGTAAAGGGATATTCTCCATCCTTCCGGCAAGCCTTCGTTGTGTGACTGGAAGCACACTCGGCGCATATTCCAGAGGTGCAGGTTCGAGTTCCGGCCGAGGGCATTACAAATTTTTCACTTCTGCAGCAGCATCAAAAAAGCTTAATGCCTATACAGTGGCTACCCTATTTGGTCCTAAGAAGCCTAACGGTAGGGAGACATTAGGGAGGTAGGCATCGCGTGCTTTGTCGTAATCAAATTAACCAAAAACCCATCTATATCTGTATAAACTTGAGAACAAATCTGATGACGAATGCACTAATTCAAAGCGCATGGTGCACGTAAAAAGTTGAAAACAAATTTAAATGTAAAATTAGTAATTTCGTAATCGATAATGCAGCAAATATGGCAAAATTGTGAGAAGAATTCGAAAACAATATTCAGCTTATATATTGGATGGTTATTCGGCATATATACTTAATTTATTGACCATATATTTAAGTACATCAAATATTACTGAGCAAGTTACTCAGGTCAAAGTACGTATTTTCGAAATCGCAGCTTGCGCAAGTCTAACGAATACATCAGAATTAGTTTAAATGTACACTGCGGGGGGGGAGTGATAATGCGGGGTACACTGCGGGGGGGGAGTTTACAATGTACACTGCGGGGGGGTGAGTTTAAATGTACACTGCGGGGTTCTATATATCTCCCGTTCTACTGGGCGGATTGACGAAATTCAAATTGCGTTTTTTATATCTCGGAAGCGCTACTTAGGATATATATTAGATTTATATATAGCACTGTTCTAATACAGGTATTCTGACACAAAATCGAACTTTTTCTGAAATGACATGCCAATTGTTTTCCATATTACGATTCTACGACTCAAATTATGTCTAAATATTAAATTTTGTAAAATTTGGTGCGGAATTTAGGGAGAAAATTTAAAAATTTATCTTTGGGGGTTTTTTTAGATTGTGCCAGGAATAATTTACTTGGCAAACTCCTTAATTTATAGCAAGCTATTTTCTATTCCCCCCCTTTTTTTATCGTTCATACTTTCAATTAATATTAATAAAGTGCGTAAACCACATTTGGCGTTATTATCGCTCAAAAAAAAATTCAAAACGCTCTAATATTTAAATTCATGTATATCTTAGAAAATTTTTAATAAAAAACGCTAATTTTTTGCAAGTGTGCCTAGAAATACATCTACTTTAAGATGATGTTATAAATTTTATAGGTTATACAAAAAGTGTTTCGAAAAATTATAAAAAAATTTTAAAATACAAGTTTTGAAATTAAATCATAAAAAATGTGTGAATTATATTTGGATTAAGCTTAAATTTTGAATTCTGGAAGAAGGAATGAAGTAAATTTAATAATATATATATATATATATATTAATAAATATATATCAAATTCAATTAGCATTAAGGAGCTAAAATTTTGAGAGCTAATTTTTTAAAAATTACTCATGCGATTTTTACAAAACTTGGTAGTTTGGCATAATTTGAGTCGTAGATTTGAAATATGGAAAAAAATTGGCAAGTAATTTCAGAAAAAGTCCGATTTTGTGTCAAAATACCTCTATTAGAACAATTGTTTCACAAGAATATGCTATGAATCACTCTTGCCTATTGAAAACTTCCCCTACACAAATTATGCATGTAAATCTAATATATATATATACATAAATAATACTAAAAAGGCTAGTAAACAGCCAGTTTTAATTTAACTTATCTAGAACATTCATCATTTGAATTCCTGAGAGTGGATTAGCATTTGCTAAACTAAGTGAGGTTGAGTAGTTTGTTCCTGCTGACTGTATAAATAGAAGGCGCTAATATAATGTAATGTTAAGTGTTAAGCTGCTACTTGTGAGAGCTATTGTAAAAACCTATGCTGTAAACTTTAAGTAATGTAAAATGCAAAATGCTTGTTTTGTGTGCAAAAATGTTGCTAACTTTGAGGCATTATAAAAATGTGTAAAAAATTGTAAAAATTGTTAACTGGCTACTGTTTGTGAAAATAAATGTTGCAAAGGGTTACAGCTACTTTTCATGCTAGCTATGTTGAAAAGGTGCCAAGATATTTTGCTTTTGCAGTACTAGTTATTAAAATCATGAAATAATTATTTTTATATTAATTCCCTTATCAAAATATGTATTACGCTTCTCAATATCATCTAATTAGGAATTTAGTTACTTTGAAAATCTTAAGTGTGTGGTAAACATTTAATGAATTGATGTAAATGAAAGTCAAGATTTTTTAAAATCCTGCTGCAAATCGAAGTTCAGCTGTATACAAGGTAATGAAAATTTTGCTAGAATGGTATATAGATTAACTACAAACATCACCAGCCGTAATTGAGACTCTATATGTATAGAAAACTGAGATACATTTCTTTTAAAAGGGGTTATTAATTTTAATATTTAAAGATATAAATATTTAATATATAATATATAAATTTAATATTTAATATATAATTATAATTAAATATTTAATATATAATCATAAATTTATTATTTAATATATAAATATTTTACCTATATTACTTATTACCTTTACTTTTATTTTACAAATGTCAAATAGCTTGCGTTTGTCTTTCATTTCATTTTTATTTACTTATACTGTTTTAATCCACACTGAACTGAAACTTGAAAACTTTCTTTTAAGCTCCCTTAATTTCTAACTGAAAGAACGTTTGGCTTGTTAAATGTATGAAAAACACTGGCTTTAGATCTGTCAGACTGAAATTACTGTTATGTTAGTTTTGAGCTTTTATGTTTCGTTCTGAGTAAAGATTAGTATGGACTCTGGATACAGAGAAAAGTATTCAGTTTTCAAATTTGTTTTTCTTTCTCAAGTAATGTCAGTTGCCTTTTTTAATGTTACAGGAAATCAGTGTTGGCACTAACAGTCTTTCACATAGTTCTCACCAGTCTGAACCTGGATATCAAGGCAAGCCTGCCTTAACACTACCATTAGAATCCACTGATGATCATCTACCAACTGAAGCTATAAACGATGAAACGAAAGTTCCTGCAGCAACACAGAAAGTCCACAGAGGCAGTGAATGGGAAATCTTAGAGGGCTTACGAGATGGAAAAAAGTGTGAAGTTAAACCTGGAAAATTTGAAGGTTATCTCATGAAAAGGCGAAAGTGGCCTCTTAAGGGTTGGCATAAAGTAAGTTGATTGCATTTAAATTTCAGAGTTGCCAACTCTCCCGATTTAGGCGGGAGACTCCCGATTTTCGACCGCTCTCCCGCCAACCCGATTTACAATATATTTCTCCCGACTTTTTCTTATTCTTAAAATTTCTCACGATTTTTATGCAACTTGGCTTAATACTTTGTTATATGAATAAAAAAAGTGCTTTTGGACGTCTGAAAGCAATCGAATTTTCTCTACATTATATCTAAACATTATATCTAAAACAAAACCTTGCGAATCAGATAGCTTCTGCTTTGTGAGTGAGAGCATTATACGTATCCAGAAACGTCATTCTCCAGTTCTCCAATGGGCTTCGAGCTCCACTGCGTGTCAGCTGGCATATATTAGCTAATGAGGACAAAGCAAGTTGTTATTTGGACGTTCTTTTTAGTTTCCTTCATTTTGTCCTGAGTTGTGTGAGTACACGTGCCTTAGGGAAATAGTTTTAGAAATTATCATCTTTTGTTACGTCTGCGAGAAAGGTGAAATACTCGTGTACGTTTCAAAAATCGTACACAGTTGACTTTCCTTCCATTATTTCCTCAAGGAAATGTAATAAATTTGCGATGTGTACCGCCTGTCGTTGCGATTTTTCGATTTCGTATGTTAAAAGGGCGGATGTTCTCAAACATGTGCGTACACAAAAACACAAGGATAACATGAGTTGTTTTGAAAAAACGAAAAATTAAATTTTTCTTCGGAAATAAAGGATAAAAAAGTTATTAATGCAGAATGTCTGTTCTCTGCCTTTTTACTGGAGCACAACCTGCCACTGAATGCATCGGATCACGCTGCAGCTTTATTTAGAAAAATGTTTCCCGATAGTGAAATCGCTACGAAATACTCAAGGTGCAAGAATCAAAACAGGTGCAATTGTTAAAGAAATGGGTTTGAAAAAATAAATCTTCAGTTATTGATTGCATTAAAACAGCTCCGGTTCTGCCTCTCTACTGAATGGAAGCAATAATACCGATTCAAAACTGTATCCAATTGTTTTTTCTTTTTTTTGATCCAGAGTCTTCAGAAATTGAGTACAGTTTATACTTTATGTTCCCCACTTTATAAGGACATTTGACAGGCTTTAATATAGCACAGCTAATTATTAAAACTTTAAAAGAAAACTGCAGGCACTCTGGATAATTGCTTAGCACTTGGTGCCGATAATGCACCAGTATTGGTAGGCTTGGAAGGCTGGTGTTGCAGGCATCTTAAGAAAGGAAAATTCAGATTTTCAGATTATGAGGTGCACCTGTCACCTCTTAAATTTAGCAGCTGAAAAAGGGGCAACTTCTTTACCAATAAATGTGGATGAAACACATTGTTGATAATTATTATTATCTTGAAAGGAGTTCTAAAAGGAAGGAAAAATTGAAACAGTTCCAACAGCTGCATAACAGCAGTTTACAATTAGAAAACTTGGATGAAGTTATAAAATCAGCTACGGATTGACACCCATTGGAGTTCATTGCAAATCTGAAAGGTGCTGATGGAATTTTAAAATATAGTTGAACTGTCTAGAATTGTGTTGGCCATCTTGACAGTTCCCTATAGTAATGCAGAGTGTGAGAGGATTCTTCAGTGTTTGTTGCGAAAATGAGGACTGAAATTTAGATCTAATATTAGAGATGGCATATTAGAAAAACTTCTTATTAGCGAAAGCAGGCCTACGTGGCAATTGCTGTGAACACAATGATGTGAAGTTTCTTTTTCTTTCTTAAAGAAAGCAAAATCTGCCACTGTTTTAACATTTGTACGAAAACTGATTAAAGTGTCTTTTTTTTTTTTTTTTTTTTTTTTCCTCTTAAACGATGCGTGTAATAAAAATTTTTTATGTGTAAGGTATTTTTGTGTTGCTTTCATTTAAGAATTAGTTACTACTTAAAGTTAATTCATTATTAAAAACTATATTTTTATCATTTAAAAAGTCTTTTTAACATTGTGAAAAATCTCCTGATTTCTTAAAAAAATCTCCTGATTTTTGAGTGTCATAGGTTGGCAAGTATGAAATTTTCTTTTGAATATCGCTGAATCTGTTGCTGCCAGTTTATTGTGAAAAAAGGCATTAAATTTTGTTGACTTAATTTACCTTATTCTGTATTAAAAATAAATTAGTAAAAAAAAAAAACTCGTTTCGTACATATGTTCTTATTTAAATCTAATAATTGCATAAATGTTGTACTACAATTGCTATATATGTGTTATTGAAATACTTTCAGCGTTATTTTTTGTTGGACAAAGGAATTTTAACATATGCAAAATCACCAACTGAGGTATGTGCTTTATTTTATTCCTGTCTTTAAACAAAATGTTATGTCATCTTTGTTAGTAAGTAATAAGCGCCTAATCATTGATTTTTTTCCACAGATGGCACGTGGTAAAATTCATGGTTCTGTTGATGTTGGCTTATCAGTTATTTCTACTAAAAGCCAACGAAGGCGTATTGACATAGATGCTGAAGAACATATTTATCATTTGAAGGTACGTAATTAACACACACAAAAGAACACACTCACACTTGTATACAATCTGTCGATTAAAAAAGAAAGGAGAAGAAAGAAATACCTAGAAAAATTACCCCATAATTTCCAGACCTTTTTTTGTTTGTTTTCATTTCTAATTTCTTAGCGTCGGCTTATAATTGAATAAATATGGTATCTACATAAATTTTTGAAATGGTACTTATATGAGGGTTATTTGGAAACTAAGGTCCAAATTGCCATAGCTAATTTCATGTGATGCAAACATTGAAATGTGCATGCACACCAACTCTTGGTATGCTTTGCTCATCAAACAATGTCATTTGTATTAGTTATGTTGCAGTCGGTTGTGTACAGTGTCAGTTCAAAATGTTTGAAACAATTGATCAGACAGCTGATGGTTAAATATGGTCAGCGATTCAGATTTTGACAGCAAGGAACATTTCAGCAGCAGAAATTCATCAACAGATAAGTGACATATATGTCTCCAGTGCGATGAGTGACAACGAAGTGTGTAAGTGGATGAGAACTTTCAAGGACAGATGGGTTAAGCCGACTATCAGTGATCACAGGAGATTTGGTCAATGCCATAGACGAAAAGATTCACGAAGACCAGTGATTCACAATATCAACTTTATCATTGAATTTTCTAAATGTGGGTAGACCAACTTTGCACAAAATTGTCTCTGAAAAGTTATAATTTCAGAAATTATCCACACGTTGTGTTCCCAGGCTGCTTATTTAGGAACACCAAATGAAAAGAATGGCTTGTGTGTTTTGACTTTGAGACCAATATCATAAAGAAAGTGATCAAGTTTTAGAGAGGATTGTCACAGGACGAGACATGGGTTTCTCGCATGACTTTTCGAATCTAAATGTCAGTCAATGGATTTGTATCAGATATCAGGCCAAACAATCACAACATGAAAGGTTACGGGAACCGTGTTTTGGGATAGATGTGTTAGTCAAGTTTATGCAGCAAGAGACAACAATAAATGCACCCACTTACTCCGTTCTCCTCCGTATCCTGAATAAACTTAGATGTGCAATACAGATTAAGTGACATAGCTTTCTAATGTTTGGAGTTTTGTTGCTGCATGAGAATGCCAGTCTCCATTCTGTCATTCACACCCAAAATCTGATCAGATCTTTTGGATGGGAATAGATTGACCACCCACCGTACAATTCAGATTTGGCTATGAGTGATTTTCACTTGTTCTGCTACCTAAAGGAGTTTCTCAGCAGCAAGCACTTCACCACAGACGATTAGGTTGAAAGAAGTAGTTTAAGACTGATTATCCTCATAGGCAGCAGACACCTATGACTTAAGCCTACCAAAGCTTCCAGAATGTTATGAGAAATGTTTAAACAAATATGGAAACTATGTAGAAAAACAGAGAAACATGTAAGGAATTAAATAAGAAAAGCTTTTTGAAAAAAAAATCTTTGATAGTCAAAAGTCGTTAATTCGGACACCCATAATCCGGAATGATCTATAATCCGGACTTCAAAGCTACAAACTTTCTGCGCATGCGTCCCATTTTTGCATGCGCGTAAGACCTTTACGGCTGCGAATATGCATGTGCGCATGCACATAATACGTTTTTACGCATGCGCATTTAATGTATAACGGACGGTATAAGCTAAGCTAAAATTATCTAATTCAGGTTAATGTTGCAGATTGCGTTGTTCCTTAATCTTCGAATTGGATCCGGCTTATTATTTTTTGCAGACTATTAGAGCAATTTTATAAAAGTAAGCTTGAACTTTCGATTATATCAAATAGAATTTCTGATATATATATTACTAATATGTAAAGGATCTACAAAGCGAAAGTATGTTTCGAAGTCGATTAAACAAAAAGTGGAATTGCTGCAAAAAATGGATAAAGGCATATCCTTTTATTCGTTTCTCTAAACCATTTCCAAAATCTGTTTATCAATTTCACGCTGCTCTGCAGCGGGGCGGGGGGTGGACACCACGGCACGCAATGAATTGGAAGTTGATCTGTCAGCACTATCCTTATCTTCAGGGCAGATGTTTTTATTTTATTTGGCTTATAATTCCTTACTAAATGTAGTATTTCATCTCGATGTACTCTGATATAATTTAAATCAAATTCCTCGTCATTATAATTCGCTTCCGATAGTGAAGAAAGTGACACAGAGGTTATTGAAAACGAAAAAATTTCGATTGACAAATTAGTCGGTATTCTCGACACAGCAATTATAGGACTTGAACAGCAAACTTTGTAACTGAACAAGAAATTATGTCTGTTTATAGAATTAAAGAGAATGTATTATCACATAAAAAACGAAGCAACTTAAACAACTTACATTGAAAGGAAATGTTTAATAAAGTAAACAAATAAATATTAAGCTTTTTTTGCTTTTTTTTTTTTTTTTTTTTTTTTTTTTTTTTTTTTTTTTTTTTTTTGTAAATTTTGATACCCTTTAGATCATAATTGCTCTTTATTTCATAAATTACGGTTTCATATCTTTAATTTTATAATTTCTGCATGCCATCTTACCAGATTTAAAGTCATGATCTATAATCCGGAATCGCCGAAGTCCCAACGAGTCCAGATTAACGACTTTTGACTGTATATGTTTTATAAGAAATCGGACTTTAATTTTCGAATAACCTGCATATATTTAAACACACTCACATATAGTTACACAGAGTTGTGTTCTGCAATTCCAGAATCTTCCTGCATGATTCTTTGACTCTTTTTATATTATCAGTTGATGCTTTTCTATTTAATTAATTATTATAAAATACAGGGTACATTCTGAGAAATATCTCTACTTAGATTTTTTTCCCTTATAGTATTTTCAGTTTTAATCATAATTTGGTTAAATTTTTAGCACAAATGGGCCCAGAAGGGCTATTAATTTTGCATTGGCATTTTGTATTGTTTCATTATAAACAGCGTTTTACTTTTCAAATTGTGGTCACCAACTAGTAGAGCCCTGCAATATATTTGAAAGAATTAAATAATGAAGAATCTGCGTGAATGTATGTATGTTTCTCGCATTGTGAAAAAACAACGGTACCTAGAGATGTCAAATTTTGAACAATGTTGTTCTCTATTGGAATATGGGCATCGGGAAGCCCAGAATGGTATTTGTTTTATTACCTATTTCATATTTTGTAAAACTTTAACCAATTTTGATTAACAAACTTAATAATTTTAAAGCATTCCATTACCACTAATATTGCGTGCATCTTTAAGTATGGACATTTTATGCAAGATTATTTCTTATTTTTACATTTCTTACTGATATTATGCTGGTAGCATAGCAACATAGAGACGTTACAATGTCTAATGTTATTTTGCATCGAATGACTTTGAATGTCTGTTGAATGTCTGTATCATTTTTCAAATCCCGTTTTGAATCCCTCATGAAAAAAGCCCCTGTAGCGTCATTAGGTTTATTTTAGAAGCAGGAGAGATGAAAAATATGCAACCCCTTCGCTGGGAATCGAACCGCAGACCTCTGGAATACGCACCCAGCGTGCAGAGCACCACACCACAAAAGCATACCACGAAGGCGGGAGAAATACCTTATATACTCTCCCTTTTAAAGGCTGACTAGGGTTTTTAGGGGACCCAATTGCCAAATTTTGGGTAGGGTGAATCATCATCCATCACCTTTTTAGTTTGGATGCCTTTTTAGTTTTAGTTTTATTATTTTTTATTCATTAACTAAATTTGCATGAGGTAAACTTGTTTATGATTAGTTAGGTGCATGCATGTTTGCATAAATTTTTGTGTTAAACCCAGTATTTTTTAAATCTGCATCATTTTTCTAATGCATTAAGTGCCTTAATGAATTACAGTCAAATATAAGCTTTTCCGGAGAAAATAAATGTTACTCACCACACTACAGGTATTCATGGATGTGTTTTATCATTTAAAAGAAAAACTGTTGACTAATGTTGTAGAATGTCTGCTTTAGTTGCCGGTTCTTGTATTCTATATACTCTGATGAGAAAACCTTACTTGTGTAGGTTCTTGTATTCCATATACTCTGATAAGAAAAACGGTTTGCCAAGCTTAGTACCCAGCCAGTGGAATCCTCCAAGTCTTTGCATCATCTAGAAAAGATTACGTCAAGAGCAGCTCAAAGCCCCAGATATTCTTATATGCCATCAAAAAATTCCAAACTAAAATTCTTCATGTTAAAGTAATAATGATTTTAGTGAAAACTATGTCTCCAGAACATTTTGAGCATCTAAACCTTGTCTCCATCAGTATTTCGACTTTTTACTCTTTTTTGAAGCTATTGAGATCTAATATGAGCAACAAATACGGTAGTATATTATGGACTTTGTGCGAAATTTATTATGTTTCCTTTTTTCTAGGTTAAAACACAGGCTCAATATCAAGATTGGGTTTCTCAGTTACGGCATCATCGATTATATCGGCAACATGAAATTTCATTTGGAACCCGAGAAGCTCCAAAAATTACTACTCCAGTTGAAGAAATGCCTGTTGGAAGTAGTATGTAGTATTAACTTCAAATTTTCTCTTTACTAATTCGAAACAAATTAATCAATTGAAACATTTTCAAATATGTATTTTGGCCTAGTACCAGCCCTCACAACTTAAAAGATCAGCTTTTGGAAACAGTGAGAATTTCACATAAATGTAACTGTATGAAGAAGGTATTATTTTCATATGCACTTAACTATTTATACTAGAAGCACCATAATCAGTTTTACAGCATTAGAGAGATAATAAATGGCATTGTGATACAAAAATGACTTACAATTTCATGAACAGGACTATTAAATTGAGAAGATTTGTTATGTCCATCATTTTGCTTTGTTTGATTAAAAATCACCATTTGATTAAATTAAGGATTTTGTTGAATTCAAATTGATAAAAAACATGTAAAAATCATGCATTATAAGCACGAATTAATTGCTGAATGTCATCTAATGTACTGCATATTACTTTGTTTGAGGAGATAGATGAATGGCAAATAATTGAATTCATTTAAATAATTAAAGGTTCATTGAGGATTAAGAATGAAACAAATAAATTTCATCTCATTGGATACTGCTATGCCTTTTCGAATTTCCTAGAGTACTTTGGATAGTGTCAGATAATGCTTATCTTCTGAAAGCTTTTCCCACCTCATGTCAAACAGCCTTGTAGCTCTGATGTCTGCCAAAAGCAGTGTGTGCCAAAGCATTGTAAAATAATGTAAAGGAACTATGATGGTGGAAAATAGAGCAGAGGCTTAAATTCAAAGTTTCAAAATATTATAACTTCTTGGATGCCTAAAATGTAAATATCTATGACTTTTTTTGTCATTTGATGTTTCATAGCTCTTTTATATTTTACAGTAACATTTTGTGTGGCACTATTTTGAAGTTCCACAGTTTATTGGCTACTTTATTTCGTATTTATTTTTCTCTTGCATTGTTTTTTCCACAATGTTTTCACCTGCAACCTATGGTATTTATTGGAGTTGCAGATAGTGCATGGTCTTAACATCTGGACCCTGGCATGCTTCTTCTACCAGCTGTATACTTTCGCTAGTCATCTTTTATTATGCAGATGCTGATCATTTCATTGAAGCATAAAGTAAGTTGACTGTCATGTGTTTGAAGCTGTTCTGCATACAGTTGCATTGTTGCTGTGCTATTACAGAGAACTTCTGCTTAAATGAGGTACATACTTGAAGTTTTCCGTTGATGTATTCTTACATACTGTGGATCTGTGATTGAATTGTTCAATAATTCTACTTTTGATGCAAGCGCAGATTTGTGTCATAAAAATCGGACATTCTCAGATTTCCCAGGTTGATCACTTTGCCAGTGATATGCAAACTGTTTAATTCTGAAAGGTCTTTGTTTCTCGTAATGACTTTTCTGTTTTTCTTTTTGAATCATATTATATAAAAATAAATATTTGCACAATCTTTCATGTAATTATGATACCCTATATTTTGACTAGTTAAACGAAGCACTTTAACTTTCGATAATCCGTTTGGAAATTATCCACACCTATATCCCACCCCCCAAAACAGAGACATATTTGAAGATGAAAGTTTTGTGCTTTTTAAAAAACTTAATATTTGAAGTGAAACTCATTGCTTGTAGTGACGTTAATAATAGCTTAATGCTATTTCAAGTCTAAAAAACTTATTCCTGATATTGTAAAGAAAGTGAGTCCACTGATGAGCAAGTAGGAGAAATAGAATTATGTTTGATGGCCAGAGTTTCTAAAGTCGGAAATAGGTTATGTAATTTTATCAAACTTAAACATTCTGAATGCAGTGACTTAAAAACAACCATTGAAAGACTGGAAAGAAGAAATTAAAGATGAGTCAAAGTGGGGCTTTAAAATGCATAGATAAGTATTTAGTCTGTTCATCAGCAAACTTTGTTCAGGTTCATTTATTACACAGCCATGCACAGCAATTACTGTATCTTGCAAAAGAATGTCAGTGTGCTTCACAGCCAGAGGTATGCATAACAGACTTCTTTCAAAAATGAATTACAGGTTACCTAAGTCTATTATTATTATAATTAAATCCTCTTTTAAACAGTGTGTTATATGTAGTTCCCTAAAAACATGAATGTTTTTTTACATCAAGTGCAAAATTTCCTTATTAACTGTACATAATCAGCTTGAGTAATCAAGAGCACACAGTACACAAATATTCCATCCTTCATCATGAAACTGTACTTTGAATATGTATACTATGAGTCAAGTTTTATGTCAGGTTTCGCTATTATTGTTTATCAGTCAGTATATATGGCTTTTTCTTTTCAGAACATTATTTCGTATTTAACATTGCTTCTAATTCATAATGAAATATGCCTACATTTGCATAAAAGTTGAAGGATTTATTTCAAATTAATTTACATTCTGAACTGACTGTTTTAAGACTTTGTTAGAATGTATAATTATACCATAAATTTGCAATGGCTTTTAAAATATTGAAAAGTGCTTTAACTTAGGAACCTGTAAACATGAAAGAGAGTTAAAATTTTTCTCATTTGCATATACAAGTATTGTTATGATTTAGATTCTTATTTAATAAATTCTTAGATTATATGTAGTGTATTTGTGACTAAATGAAAGCATTGATTTTTCTAGTCTATAATAAATATATGTACACACAATACACATGCACATGTATATCTCTTCACATGTAATAGATGGAAATTTATACATTGTTAAATATATTTTTAAATCTCTCATTTCATTAAAATATTGTTTAAAATTATTTTCTGTTTTCAGTGTTTTTCGTGATTAATGGAAACTTGTTCATTTTGTTTATATCCCATTAGATTTTCTTTTAAAATAAAAACCACCAACAGACGACATATTAAACACTGGGTCACCCAGAAACATATGCAGTTTTTCAAATTTATGAATATTTTCTTCCATTTATTTCATTGTTGCTAATAAGGGGGGGGCATTGTTTGAATCAGATTCATAAATATGGTCTTTTCTGCTCATGCTGCATAACTTTAACATGTGTTATAAGCATAATTTTTTTTCAGTAAAATGCTAACAATGGAGAACCTAAAACTTGATTTTTGTCATACAGTAGATGCTGCTTAATGTAATCACATATGTCCGGGATTATTTTATTAACATTAAGCAATGAGAGCACTATCCTCCATAATATCAATAGCATTTAACTAAATATGTATATATAACTAGAAACATATAAATACGCTTCCACTAGAAATATATAAATGCACTTACACAGCAGTTTATTAGGAAAAAGTAGTTCATTGTCTGCATGTAAAACTGTCATGTAAAAGTTCATTTTTGAATTGTTCATGTTTCTGAAAATTATTTGGCCAATAATGTATCCCTAATCGTAATAGAGTACAAAGTCCGTAATCCGGACTTCGGGGATTCCGGATTAGGGGTTTTTCCGGATTATAGATCATCAATTTAGATCTAGTAAAATGGCATGCAGAAATTATACAATTAAAAGTATGAAATAATTTATGAAATAATGAGCAATTATGATCTAAAGGGTATCAAAATTTACAAAAAAAAAAAGCTTAATATTTATTTGTTTACTTTAGTAAACATTTCTATCAATGTAAGTTGCTTAAGTTGCTTCGTTTTTTGTGCTAATACTTTCTCTTTAATTCAGACATAATTTCTTGTTCAGTTACAAAGTTCCACTGTTCAAGTCCTGTAATTGCTGTGTGTCGAGAATACTCACTAACTTGTCAATAAAATTTTTTCATTTTCAATAACGTTCCTGTTACTTTCTTTACTATCGGAAGCATGCATGGGTAAACGCTTTACTGGCTTTATGCACATGCGTAAGTTTGTGGCTTCGAGGTCCGGATTATAGACCATTCCGGATGATGGACGTCCGGATTACGGACTTTGTACTGTACTCATAGCGCGACCCCATCTCAGCATTTGCAGGAAATTTACCGATTTCATTTCCTTCTTCAGAAAGTTTATTATATGATGTGCTTGGACATCTTCTTTTGTCACAGATGCTGCAATTTGAATTGTATTATCAATTCCCAAACATTAAATCCAATCATCTACACAAACGTTAAATTCCTTCCAATCCATTTTAGAGATGTTGGTTGTAATAGTACTTCAGCTTCCTCTATTTCATCATGTATTATATGACTGGCATGTTTCAAATTGTTATTTATCACCTTTTCTTAGATGCAGTACTAAAACTTGTTCAGTAAATGCAGCACATCAAGAGCACTAATTTTATTGCTATAGTTCGACTGCCTCTTCTGCGACCATGAGCGCAAACATGCATGTGACATTCAGACCAAATTATTCTCAAAATAGGGTGGAAGAGTGGAGACTTTCTTTCCCTCAAGCATATTCTTTCCAGAGAAGACTTTCATGTGACCTTTCACGTCGTAGCAAGTAATAATGCCCCTTTTGGACAAGTCTGTGTGTTTTGGCAGAGTGCCAGCCAAGGCTGCATTTGAGACGGCCGAATTATAATTCATTTCCTCATATATCCATGGGATCTATGTTATAAAAAAATTTAACTTTCATTTCATGGCAATAATAATCTTGCATTGCTCTAATAATCTTTGATGAAAAAGCTGAACTACTGCTGTGTTATTTGCTGGTAAACCTACGACTTGAATCCCTCCTTCTCTTCATTCAAAATATGTAATGATGATATGAAGTAACTTTTAACTGCCCTGCTTACTAACCACAATTTAATAATCCAAAACATAAAATGTTCTGTGTAGTTTAATAAAAATATCCAAACCATGATAAGAGTAACATTTCTATTAAATGCTGTTTGCCTCGCGTTTGACACGGAATAAAACGATCTCAAGATCTTTCGTAATTTTACATCCATTTGAGGTTTTAGTTTTAAATAAATTAACTTGAAGCAATGCAATAATATAATATAGATCTCTTTTGTTGGCATATAAATATTTTCAGGACAGAACTTAGATAATTTAGGCCATTCATTTTACAACCATGTTCCTGCAGCAAGTAAATCAGCACCTTTTTCT